ATCTCTTTTGAAGTTCTCCTTTATAATCTGGAATAACTCAGCTGTTGAGTTTTCGCCCTCTACTAATCCAAAAATAATTAGGTTATTACTTTTCTTTTCCCTTTTAAAGTGTTCTATCTCCTTCTCTAATTTGCCGATTCTTTCTTTCAGTTTTTCGTTTTCCTCCTTGATAGGCATTAGTTTTTCATCCATCCGATCCATAATATTTTTTGTAAGAGATTCTGTTAATTCAATTGTCTGATTTTTCATTTCCATTTTCATTTTTTCAAATAATATTTCAAATTGTCCCTCCATAATTTCGGGACAAGTTACTTGGAACGGAACGTAAAAGTAAATAGTAACTTTAGGTTTTCTTGTTCTAGCAACACTGTAGTTTATACCAAACAAACTAAGTGACAGAGTGACATCAAAGTATCAGTGACACAAGACTATCAGTTGAAATATTTTGTTGAAATATTAAATAATTCAAAATGGCGGTTAATTAATATTCTGACCTCGGATGTTGTTGTTGATCTTCAATTTCACTTTACTGGACAGATGTGATGCGAATTCGATGGATGGTGTTTTCTAGGTCTGCCCCGGCATCTGTAGTGTTGTTTTCAACGGTGTTTTTGTTCAGATGTATCGTATAACTTTTTTTAAATCTTTAATTTTCTAGAGGTATAGTCACAACGCTGTTGGCACTTTGACAACCGGATCCGGAATCGGAACAAATTGTAGTAACCTGTTTCTTTCATTCCTTAATTTTATAAGCTTAAAACTGAATAAAACGAAACGGAAAGTATATCCTTTAAATCATCATCATCATCAACAGCCTTTAATAGTCCATTGTTAAACATAGGACTCTCCTTAAAAAGGAGGTTTGGGCCTACTATACCACGCTATCAAGCCGGGGTGGTATAAGATTTGTTTCACGTTTTCCTTCTCTTGTCAGTGCTGTTGTACTACGTAGTTTGCTCCCTTGTGGATCAAAAGAACTGGAATTGTTTGTTTTCTGAAGCAGATTTTTCTTTAAATGAATCAATACCACGCAATTACTGTTATGTATTTGTACAAGAATGCATTTCCTGGCAAGTTAATAGTTGCTATTTCAAGTTATCCTTGCAGTCTTGGAGTACTATACTTAAAATGGTATACCTATACCTAGGTTATGGTATGTTTAGCCTCTAAGCCCATCTATATACTAGGTCTTTACCTATGAAGTTGGAGATTTTCAAAACCAGCATTTTCAGATTTAATTATCTGTGGATTGGCGCGCGATTCGTAATTCATATAAATTTTATTCGAAAGCCATTTTGCTAGTCTTAAATAAACCTACTGAACATCATTTATCACTTTCTATCCCATTTAATATGTTTTAAGAGAAAAAGAGATGACATTGAACACAAAAACCGTTTTTTTAAATATTCCATGAAAAGAACAGTATTTACACGCTTTATAGTTTCACTTGTATGTTTTTTGTTTGTATGTTTGTAACCGACTCCTTTAAGCGTGATTTTGACTGACTTTAAACGGTCATATATATCAAGGACCAATGACAATATACTAATATAAAAAAAAATAAAAAAATTATAGTTTAAAAAAAATAAAAAACACGCTTTTGGGTACCTGTTGTCATTAGTAAAAAGCACCCCACGCTTTTTTTCAAATTTATTTTCTATTTTTTAGTTTGGTTTTCTAGTTTTTTTTATTTTAACGGGCTTCCAAAACACAAAAGATGATGTTCTCAATTCGTCTGTAGTTTCATTTAAAATTCAGTCTTTTCTTTTAGATAGTCTTATGTTTTTGTAAAGTTTTTTTAGTTTTTGGCGCCATTGATAAAGTAAATTTTCGTAAAAAAAATTAATATGAGTTCCTACTTAGAAATACCGATGCGCAAACAACACGAAACATATTCTTAAAACGTGAAAACATTTTTAAACGACTTTAAAAAAGGAAGTATTTAAATCGGCAGATGTTTTTTTATATGTTACATAACAATTTCGCCATTTATAAACCGATTTCGAATACTCTCTTTATTTAGCAATTCCTTTATTACTTTTCACTGAGTGAGGGAGGAAATGTACCCCCCCCCCCCCCTCCCTGTCTTGTGTCCTAAATCTGGGGGAGAAGCTCAAAGGGTGGCAAAGTATTTGTGACATTTGAATTGCAAGTGTCCATGGTATGCTTTTTTGCCCCCCAATACCATAAAAAAATATATACTTAAGTTATACTAAGAACTTCTGAATAAATTTGGTACATCAAATTTCCCTGGAAAGAAGTAGCCTAAGTGTTATTCCAGACTATAAACTATCTATATTTCAAATTGCATCCGGATCCGTTCAGCCGTTCTGGTGTGGTTGAATAACAATCGTTATTCAACCACACCAGAACGGCTGAACGTAGTTTGTGTAACGGACTGCTATTCCAAAGGTCACGGGTTCGACGACTTAAACGGAAATATTAAGCGGAAATGCGGATCATGCCGCGTATCTTTGGAGCGGAGCAGTGACGAAACGTAGTCGAAACTCTAAGAAACGGCTGCCATCTATTATATAATTAAATACTTTAATGAATATAATCGACCTATTGGTCTATTGGTTAGTGACCCTGGCTGATAAGCCAGAGGTCGTCGGTTCGATTCCCACCTTCAAAGTGTAACAAAAACAAACTGACAGGCGCATATAAGAAACGATTCTCTGACATGTTTATTACGCAGAGATATCTAAACTCAAGTTTAGCTGGGCTTCTACTGAAAGTTCCAGAATACGGATAAACTCAGATAAAAATATAAATTAATATCCCGACATATTTATGTATAATATATAATATAATATATTCTACCACATTCACACAACGCCATCTAGTCCCAAACTAAGCAGAGCTTGTACTATGGGTACTAGACAACTGATATAAATACATACATATTATACATAAAAACACCCAGACCAAATCAAACATCAAGTGTTCATGCACACAAATGTTTGACTTGAGCGGAAATCGAACCCGCGACCTTTGGAATAGCAGTCCGTTACACAAACCACTACGCCATCCAGTCGTCGTATGTTTTATTGTTTTGAGCGGGAATAAAACCCGCGATCTTTGATGTTGTAATATAATAATTACCATGCGACAGAGGTCCTCCTTATCTATCAGTGTCGTCATCATCATCATCAACAGCCTTAAATAAACCACTGCTGGATATAGGCATCTCCTTAGAAAGGAGGATTTGACCTACTATACCACGCTGGCCAGACGGGTTGGTATAGGGTTTGTGTCAAGTTTTCCTTCTCTCTGCAGTGCTGTTGTCCTGCGTAGTTTTCTCCCTTAGTCGGCTCTTACGTCTCTATCAGTGTAGAATTGAAGTTGGTTTGTGTACGCTTCAAAAACTCAAAAAGTTATGCACCGATTGAACTCAAAATTTGACACGATATACAACCCACTTCCAAAATTGAGTTTATCTTTTATCAATTTTGCAACTACAGTGTGCCACAGCGAAGCGTTCCATTGTACATATCGTTCTAGGGTATATCTGGTTCCCCGGCTAATAGTACCCGACACGGCGTGCGGTTTTAGTCGGTTCCGAGGGGGTTAGGTGGTATCCGAGGGGGTTCCGCACGGAAAAAAAAAGGGTACATATAGTAAGTAATAAAAATAAATTATAGTTTAAACAACTAGAAAACACGCTTTTGTAACTAGACGAACTAAAAAGAAGAAAATTTTCGTCGTTAACGTAAAAATGCGTGGGGCGCTAGATATTAATTGTTGTAAAAATATTTTATTGACAGTAATTGGTAAAAGGAAAGTTATCTTATATATAAAATTCTCGTGTCACAATGTTCGTTCCCGTACTCCTCCGAAACGGCTTGACCGATTCTCATGAAATTTTGTGTGCACATCGGGTAGGTCTGAGAATCGGTCAACATCTATTTTTCATACCCCTAAATGGTAAGGGTGACCCATCCCAATTTTTTTTTTGTTTTGCTATACAACGTTTTTGCTTTTTTTTGTTATTAAAAATGATTATTTTCTCAATAAGACAAAAAAGCAACAAGTAAGTTAATCACATATGCTTCAGCACACGCCTCTAGTACGTAGCAAAAGACACTACCGTATTTTTCGGTATGAAAAAGCCGTAAATCCTGGAGATCCTGATAAGGGATAATCGTCCAAATTTATCAGATTATTGTATTGTCATCGGTCCTTGATAAGTGTGCGAAGTTTCAAGTCAATTCCACGTTTTGAAGTGGGTCAAAATCACGATCGAAGATTCCGTTACATAGATACATACATACATACATACCGAGCTATTAAAAGCGTGTTAATAATAACATCTGATACACGGCCATCTCATCCCAAACTAGGCAGAACCTAATCTAGACTGCTGATAAACATACTTATATATTCCTAAATACATACATATTATAGTAGATAGATTACGCCCAGACACTGAACTGAAATTAACGTGCTCATCACACAGTTATTTGTCTTGGATGGGAGTCGAACCCACAAACTCTGGCTTAGATTCGGCATCACTAACCGTTAGACTAACAGGCAGTCTAATTTTCAATAAAAACGTAATTAGTATATCTTAATGCATATTATATTAATGGTCACACGAAATAATGCAGTCACTTATAGTCACGTATTAAGTTAAATTCCTAGTATATGTAAGTTTATCTGTGAGCTTTCAAACCTAAACTACTCAACCTAAACTAATCAAAATGATACGTATACGCAGATGTAGTCGGAGGTATAGAAATTGTACCAAGGATTTCCTTTCTAGATTACACTAGGTTCCCTGGCTACAGGTGTCCGAGACGGCGTACGCTTTTAGTCAGTTCAACTCCGACATAACCACTCCCCAGGCCGACCGGAGTGAGGCAACCCGAAATAAAAAAGAGGTATAGTATAGTTAAAATCACATCCTCCAAAAAAAAACATAAAAAAAATTACTTTAATGCGAGCAAACCGGCGTGCAAAAGTTAGTAGATTATTTCTAAAAAACAAAAATTACGTACCAGTGTGAATCTTCGGTGCACGAGAATAAACACCAATACAATACAACACGCACAATAATCAAGCACTATGGTATCAACAACACAGAATAGAGAACAATTAAAAGAAACCAGACTCTTTATTTCCTTTAGAAAGTCTTTATACACACAACTGTCTGTGCAGACGGTCGCAGTTGCAATGGCGAGCTAACATATAATACCCGTTTTTATTTACAGCGAAAGTACACCGTAAGAGGACGTTTACACCAACCGGAGACAAGAATGCGATTATTTTCTTGCATTTAATTTAATATGTGTACAAGTATTTTTATTTTGAATTGAGCGAAGATATTCGAGATCAGCTCGATAATAATTTAGTGACGAAATTTGAAATGATACAAAAACATCTCACATATGGGCGTCAGATCCCAAACTAGGTAGAGCCTGCACTACGGAAACCATCCTGCTGTTAACATACTTATATAAAATATACTTATCAACACTCAGAGAGATTAAATGATATTACTCATCATACAATTGTTTGTCCTGGGTGAGAATCAAACCCACGGCTTCTGGTTTATCTGGTAATATCATTTTTAATTTTTTTTATTGCATAATTAAGAAAGTATATTTTTTAAATGAGTGCAGACCGAATGACACAATGGTTATAAGGCAAGCGAATATAGAAATTTGCCATGCAGCGTACATATGTAGTTCTTTTCTGTTCAGACATCTTGGATACCACCCACCCGTGGGGTGGTGATGTCGGACTAAAACTGCTCGCCGTCTCGGGTACCACTAGTCAATGAAACAGGAGTACCCTAGAAAGGAAATCATTGGTACATGTAGAATACGATATATCAATGATATTCTGAAGATTAGGCAGCTCAAAGGTACCTGAAACAAGCAAGATTACATTAAAGTTTTGATGATAGCAGAATAAGCATAAGATATGTAAGGATAGAACTGTGTTGATGTTTTGTCGATCCCGAAGGGGGAAGGCGTTCATCATCATCATCTTCTTGATGTTCCTCTTTTTTAAATTCACCAAATTACTCTCTTACTATCGTGTAACTCTTATCGCTTGCTACAAAGTTAGGAGTTATTTATCTTTAGATGTCTTTTGGAAGTACTAACACATAATAAATTATTATTAGCTGAATACGATGTCATTATGGTTTTGCCATAATAATTATGAGTAGTTAAGTAATTATCTATAATTTTACACGTCGCAGTGCGTGAGTGGCTATCGAACTAAGATGCGACTATGCGTGCTTTGTGACGGATACGTGGCAGACGACTGACAGACTGGAAATAATCATGTACTTGTAGTAGTATATTTATCAGTAGTCTAGTAATTTGGGATCGGGCAATGGGGGTGAGATGTTACAAATTATTATTGTTATTATTATCTATGACAGTATAACTTACTAGTATCGCTAATATAATAATAAACTATTACTTTTGCTATTATAATTTAGGGCACTAACGATTAATAATTAAATCTGTAACTACTAAATACTTACACAAGAAGACTTTAAATATTGTTTTTCATGTTGGTTGAGCTCAGTTATATCTGGATCCATCTGACTGATTCGAAAACAATCGCCTATTTAGTTTTACAAAATGTAACGACATACATTTGTGTCCAAGTTAAGCTGGATTAGTTAGAACAAAGCAAATCTATCTATCGTGTGTTGTCCATTTTGTATAATAAGTCTTACATTTTGCTAGTGTTAGCAGAAATAACAGAAGAATAAGAAGAATGTATGGCAACAAGCGTAATTATCGTGTCATACCGGGCGGTACGTAGATGTTCATAATTTATTTTTATGTTTCTAAACCCTTGTTTCATTATATCTGGAGTACTTTATTTATATATTTACTAGCTGACTCGGCGAACTCTGTTCCGCCATAAAGGCAATAAAGAAGCCGATTTTCGAATTTAGTAAGTTAATTTTTTTCTTAGAAAAAATCTTCCGTCTTTGAAAATTCTTCGATGAAGCATTCCAAGTATAATAACGTGGCATCTCCGAGTAAAGCAAAGTTCGTGCAAAATTTGTTTTTTTTTTCGGTATAAATAGTATCCTATGTCCGTCTCCTGGCTCTAAGCTACCTCCCCACCAATTTTCAGCCATATCGTTAAAGCCGTTCTTGAGTTATAAATAGTGTAACTAATACGACTTTCTTTTATATATATAGATTTACCTAATACTTCCTGTAAATACATTGTATAAAGCGAATCTTAAATTGACCAATCGGCATTCTTGTGAAAATCTATATAAAATAATCAACTTGCAATAGTTAGTTAATATTGATCCCCTAATAAATTAGTTCATCATCATAACCTTCTTTAATAGTCCACTGCTGGACAAATGCCTCTCCTTATAAAGTAGGTTTTGGTGTACTATACTACGCTGGCAAGACTGGTATAGGGTTTGGGACAAGTTTTTTGCAGTGCCCTTAGTCGGTACTTATGACACCCACGGGATGAATAGGACCACACGGACAATAAACTAGTTATAGGTGCAATATTTTTTCTTGTATCTCCCACTCTAAATAGGCAAGAATCGAAACAAGTAAGAAGGCGAGTGTGTAATCCTCTTATTACGAAACAAATACATTTATGAAAAATACATAATTACGTCATATTGATTAGATTGAAAATATATGTAAAAAAACGTTTTTCTATAGAAATAACAAAATTACTTAAAAATATTATTAAATTGCGTAACCAACTTGTGTCTTAGAAGCCAACCCTTTTTTGAGTTTAGAACCCCTTATGGGTCGTCAATTTAAAATTAAACCGGATATGATCTAAGGAGGTAATCCTTGGAATTCGCAGCAGGTTCTGACCACCTGTTGATAGGAATGCATTTAAAGCCGTGTCCACACCGGGCTCACATGGGTCCGTATACAGCATTAATATTGGATATATAAAAATTAAATTACACTCGTGTTTGGTATAACTGATAAAAATTTAGCTTTTGAATAGTGAAGCTTAATAGTAAAACAATATCGATTATAGACAAAATAATAATAGTTTATTATTTTTTAATATTATTTATTTTAATTTTATATTAGTGTATTGTCATCGGTCCTCGGTATATTTACAAAGTTTGAACGAATTCTGACCGTTTAAAGTCAGTCTAAATCACGCCCAAAAGAGTCGGTTACAAACAAACAAAAGCTAATAAAAAGCGTTTAAAATGTTAGAAAGGAGGTTTTGGCCTACTATACAATTTAATTACATATGTTGTTTAGTTATAAGTAGAACTAAAAAGTGTACTAAAATCAACACGACATCATCATCAGAAGAATGGAAGAAGAAAAAAGAAAAGAGAACCCCAACAAGTTGAGAAAACTTCTTACCTTACATATATATGCACATTTACTTAGACATCATCTTGTTTCCTTTTTTCAAAATTTATTTAAGGTCAGCCCCATGTGTTTTCTTCTTTCATTCTCCTCTATCACTCGTCATTTCACTACTTACTTCCATTCTAGCCATATCCTCTTTCACGCAGTCCATACATCTTTTTTTGGTCGTCAACTTCTATGCATAAAACTTTCCTCAATACATTTCGCTCAACTCTAAGTACTAGAATAACCATATTCGGCTTCTCAATTTTCACCTACTGGTGCTACTTCCTCACCTTGTCCATCGTAGTCACACTATATATCCATTTTAACATCTGCATTTCAGCTACAGTTAAAAACTACATCACATATCTACTACTTAAATCATCTCTCAGGTTTACCTAATAAATATAAACTATAATCCAAACAATACTAAAATCTAAATATTTACATTAAAATGTTTAACTATCGAGGACCGAGGTCTCCTCCCTGTAGAACTCCATACGAGCAAGTTACATTATTACCTGCCAATTTATGACCATTTTGACATTTTTAGCTTTCTGACAAATGTTCTGCCAAAGTTATGGTATTTTATGTATCTGTAAATAAACAACTAAACTTTGTTAATTTTAGTAATAAAAATAAGCGCAACAACAGTATCAGAAGCCTTCTGTAGGTCTATGACTTCAAACCAATTTTCCTTTCGTTTTTCACTACCGGTGACCAAAGAAACATTGTCTATTTCAAATATTTATTGTATTCTATCAAAATATTTCTTTTTTCTTTTGAAGATATATTTATAGATTTGAGATAAATTCGATAAAAATGTGTACATTATTGTCTGTTTAGTGATTCAGCAGCTTAAATTTAATCAACTGCAAACATTTTCAATCCTCTTCACATTTTCTTCGAACTATTCGTATGTTCCTATTCGTTTTGTATTTATTTTAAACAGCAGTTTCCTGCTGTTGCTCCTCTAGAATTGTGAGGGTTGGATTAAAGAGGGTTGTCATTGGAAAGGGGTAGCGGTCCGCCATAAAACAAACCAAAAGCGTTTTCAATGTTACACAATGCGCCGACCCCAAGTAGAATTAGGATGAGAGCAGCTAGATAAAAATGATTCACAGGACCCTAAATGACTGTCTCAATTTTACAAAATAACATAATATATACATGTTTCTTTTGGTAATAATTAAAGTTAATCTCTAGTCAAATATCATTTCTTAATCAGCTAGTATTGGTAAAAATTAAAAATTTCAAAATATCTATCTTCATCACACTCCCCCAAAAAAATGGGCGATTTTCGGCAATAGGCTTATCCCATACTATTCTGCAAAGTATAATTTTAGTACCACCTACTGGTGGACTAAAATTTACTCGGCAAAATGTGGCCATTTAATATGCCTCCGTCTAGCCTTACGGGAATATAGACGTGTGTGTATTTATTTATGTATGGTTATTCTTGTTCTAGAAACGACAGTCCAGGCTATGCTTAGTTTAGGTCGAGATAGTGTTATGTACGTAGTATCATTATTATTATATCAGTAACTATTCATTAATTGATAGTAACAGGAGCTCAATGACAATTGCTATCACTTGTGTATTTAAGTAATTTTAACTACACGGGTGGCTTAGTGGTTTAAGCGGTACCACGCCGCTCCCTACTACGCCGAGTGTTGTAGGTTCAAACCGCACATGGGACGACACTTTGTGTGATCCACAAATTGTTGTTATGAGTCTGGGTGTTCTTTGTATCCGTTTCATGTATGTTTGTAAAGTCCCCCGCGACACAGGATATATGCCTAATGCGGGAGTTGTCTGTTTTAAATAGAATTAGAATTAAATAGAATTTGTTAAATGATGTGAGGTCAGTTACTGTGACTAACCTGGGTTTGGTTTATTTATAACGGACCGACATCAAGCGCTAGTATTCGACTTGATTGGGACCATGAACTTAACTTTCACATGATCCTATAATGGAAACACTCCTCACTGCCTTACTATGAATATAAACATGCTTTTTAGATTTTTAGCAACAAAACAAAACAAGATTTTTAGATTTATAAATGCAAATGGTTGACGCCGGTGGGTGATGGTGATGAAAAAAATGCTCATTTTGATGAATGACCGACTACTTTGTTTAGAATCAATATTTAGAACTACCAATTTTTATTAGTTTTCCTTATTCTAAGATTTTTATTATTACAAATACGCAAAAAACTAAAAAATCATTTCTTTTTAATAAATTAATTGGTGATTTTTAACGGAAAACACAATTGTTGGAATAAAAAATAGTGTCCCAAACTATCCTCCACACATAATTGATGTTAAATATTAAAGTTCGTATCGTTGCACTGCCAATTAAAGTATTTATTTCTGAAAAACTACTTATTTTAGACAATATTTATTTACTTTAATTCAGTTTAGCCATTAATATAATAATTATTTTATATAACATCATTATGTGCTAATGTTTTATACTTTTATTTTTATTTACTTAAAAGTGTTCAATTAACAACATAATTTTTTGAAAAAAAACCACCATAGTGCGAGTCAGCCGGCACAGCGACATCTATGCACACTAGGGAAAAACTTTAAATCGTACAGGAGGATTTCTCTTACTCCTCTCCCCCCTACTCTTACTTAATCGTCCGTGTGGTGACGGATTAAGAATACAGAGTGTCACCACCCCTATTCATCCCGTGGGTGTCGTAAGAGCCGAATAAGGGAAAAAACTACGCAGAACAACAGCACTGCAGAGAGAAGGAAAACTTGACACAAACCCTTTTTTTTTTTTTTTTTTTTTTTTTTTAACGTGTGGAAATCCCCTCGGACCGTCACCCCTCCGGGGTTTGCGGCGGGGTGGTGTGTCGGACTCGGACCGACTAAAACCACACGGTGTGCCACTCTGCGCCTGTAACAGGAGGGATCCGGGAACAGCTGTTGTTAAGACATCCGGACCCCTCCTAGCGCCAGCCCGCTCCTGGTGCGGGCTCCGTCTCAATATATTTTCCTCTCTTTAGGCGACGTCCGGCACACGCGGACGCCGCCCCCTCGCGGCTGGCCAAACTAATGCGGGTGGAGGGGAAACCCACCCCGTCCACCCGCGGCCACACTCAGGGCGGCATGAGGCTGTGATAGGCGGGCCTCCGCCGCCCGGTTCGCCGGCGGCGGATCGGGCCCGAGTGGAGGTCGTCCTCCCGGGCCCTCTCCGCCGCCTCCTTCC